TGGAATTTGCAGACAATTCCAATAAAAAAGAAATAAGGTTTGAGCATTCTGTTGCAGCAACAGTTTAACATTTCAAGTTTTTATACTTCTGTATTATACTTTTTGAAATATACAATATGTTAAAAAAGATGCCAAAAGAAAATTAAAAGAGCCTAACAAACTGATGTATAATAATTATTTATGTGAATACACTGAAAATATATTATAATATATGGTTTTACTGAGTGTATATGCACATCCTTATATACAGTTTAAGCACATTTTTGCTTTGATCTAAACATGATGCCTTGACGATATGAAAGGCTGAACTTTTCAATGTCTGGAATACTTTTTCGCTGTGGCTAATAAATGTTTCTTTGTACAATATGTGTGTATCTTTGTTGTTAGACGATAACCAGACATTGACTATTTTTAAATTGAATCCTTTATTTAACCAGATACCTCTCATTAACAATGACAACCAATTATATCCCAGGGAATTTGCTGAAATAATTTGACTGAAGTACTTTGCTCAAGAGGTACTGCAGCAGGTGTGTGAAGATTTTAACCCCTGTCTCTCTAGAACCTCTGGTGACCCTCTAGCCCTAATCACTCCTCAGTGTTGCTGCCAGAACTACTGTACATCAAAAGACTTCCAGATTTAATTAGCTTTTTACTTCATTACTTACTGTATACCACAGCACAAACTATGACCGGAAGGATGTTAAGAAACATAATCTACTGCATGTGAATTGCTCCTCACCTAAATTAAACTCCACACTGGTGTTAAAAGAAGTTGTAATTTTAACACAATTGAAAACATTTGAGCATATCACACCAGTCTTAGCATCTCTGCTTTGGCTGCCAGTGAAAATCCAGAGTGAAAAATCCAGGATACTATTAGTAACATCTAAGGTGCAGAATAGTTTATCAACAAATTATAGGATCCTCTCTTGCCATTCACTTCTCCATGCTTTCATTGATTTTTTATTGTTGTTATGTTATTTCATTGTTGCTTAGAGACTGGAAATTCGTGTGAGCAGCCTGAGAATTCTTTGCAAGTAAACAGATTTGACCCGCCCACTTAAAGCAGGAGAATCCAGATCCTGAAGACCGCAAGGTAAACATTAATTAAATGTGAAGATGTGTATGGATGTCAATTCAAATTAAATGGTCTTGATGAGAACTCATATTTATTTTATTTATGCATCAAGCACCTTTCTCCTGTATAGCTTAAAGCTTTAAATTATAGAAATGATGTCCACTAGACTGCAGATGTGTACAACTAAAAATATCACAAAATGTTTTAAATATTACAGTTAATTCAATTGCAAAATTATAATGCCTGGAGAACCACTTGACTGCAATATGTTTTGTGATGTGTTATAAATGTTACGTGTTGGTATGTGTTATACATGTGCAATAGAGTGATGTGCAATGTTTTTCTTTTCTTCTTCTTTTTTTTGGTTTGCATTCTATTTAAATGTACAGGAATGCTGTGTGTGCATAAAAAAATTCCCTCAAGGAACAATAAAATCTTATCTTATGTATTTGTCAGAAAAACCCTGTCTAATTATCATTCTATTTAGATAAATAATGTCTATTTATCATTCTGCAGTAAAACAAGATGCACCTCTCCTTATTTTCCCCACTTTAAAATTCATTTTTACTTTTACTGTCATAGCATGTTTTGTTTATAATATTAAACAAGATGTTTAAAAGAAACATATTATTTAACTTTGTCCTCTATTGAGTTTAGTGGCTGTTGACCTGGGACAACGAACATTACAATTGATATTTAATCTGTAACTAACTTTCAAATTGGAGAAAAAAATAACTTAAATGTTGTTTTCACAATGTGCATATCATAAATATTCAACATTATGAAGATGAAAGAGCTGGCCTCAGGAAAGTAACACTTGGGCTTAAGCGAATCTACCGATAGTAAACATCCTTCTTCTGCTTTACTTTTGTGGTGACGCTTTTACTTTTGTGCTCTAGGAGCTCTGCAGCTAGATCGTGATGTGATAAGTCTACACAGAAAGAGCTGGCTCAACTTTCCTTTCCCTGCTTTGCCTGTGTGCTCTACAGCTGGTTGCGGAGCTCTGCAGCTAGACTATGGTGTGATAACAAAGAAATGAGTTTCAAAATAGCACATTTTATTTTTTTCATAGCAAGAGTTTACTGGTTCATCAGAAACACTTTGTTTTACTGCCATAGAGAATATGAAGTTTCCTTGTGCTTTTCTCAACTATTTTGGAGTTTCCTGGCCCTAAACCATCTGCACTTAAAATAATCATAAATATTGGAGTTATAGATTTAGAGACCCGAAAATATTTTCGTCGGGTACAAGTTAAAGCACCTTAACCTTTGTTACCACTGACTGTCTTATAAAAATCTGTTTAATGAGCATCCTGTCAACCTATTGAAGTGATTTTGTCTTCAAATGTGCGGAATAGGTCGTTTATTTTATTTTGTACAGCACACCAGGTCAAATGAGCTATCTTTATTTTTATAAATATACTCCATATTTTAATATGTAAATATTTTATTAACAACACACAATCTGAAATAATTTTATGTTACTAAAACTTCTGAAAATATGTTTTTTTATAATCTTTATATTTAAGTAGTCAATCAAAGTTAAACTAATTAAAATTGTCATCATTAATGCAAAGCAGTTACACCTCTTTTATAAAACTGTTTTACCTGCCATTTAGTTTCTAATATCAATTAACGGAACTCACTGTATAGCTCTTTCCTCTTCTGTTTGTTTAATTACCTGTTGACCTGGGACAAAAACGGGAAAATTTAAAATTGGAGAAATACTTAAAAAACCTAGTCCTATTCCATAATGTATTTTTAGTCTGATGTAACAACCCCTGGCAACAGCAGCATTCCCACGAGCACTCAACCTGTCATTCAAACTAGGTTGGTACATCTTTCAATTAAACCTTCAATCTTTCAATCAGGCTACCGATCTAGTTCCCAATCACACTAATCACCTTACTGTTCAGAACGCCAAATCTTTACTCCGTCATTAGAGCTAAACCTTGCGAATCTGATCACATTGATCACATTCCTCTTATAGTCAAGTTTATTACTTCGTTCTCTTATCTTACTACTCCTATTCTTTGATCCTGAAACATTTTCTCTATTTTTATTTTTGAGGATCATTGTAGTAGAAACTTTGGGATCATTCTAGATTTTACCAACCCTATTACGTCAAATGTGAAAAATGGTAAGAAAACCAAAACATTTTTTGAGTTTTAGTTGTTAAGAACAAATGGACGTAAGAAAGTTTGTGAACTAGAGTAGGCTATTTAGCCTATCTTGCTCATATGCCTACATTGCCTTGACTTATAATGTACAATTTGTGCTATATACCTCTCAATAATTACTTTTATATTGCTTTCCTATACCGTCTTGATGAAGACATAGAAGAATCCAGATTAGTTTCATACATACTGTAGCTTCTTACCCATCAGAATTACCCATTATTTAAGCATAGTTCTACCGCCTGCTTGGATAATATTGATTTTGTCAACATTGAATTTTGTTTTTATGTGTGTGCCCAAACCAGGATTGAAGCCATCAAGAAATCCTTCACAACAGTTATTCTGATGGGTAACACTTATTTGATGTATCTTTTAATTCTGAAAAAAGTGTCCTAAAAGTAGTGTTCTCTCATAATTACATAATATATAAAATATAAAATACTCTAAAATACAGAATTTGTCCGAGGGAAAGATGTATCTAAAGGAGTGTGCCAATTATAATGTTTTTGGATCACATACAGTGCTAAAACTGATATTTTTTATAAATGCTGTATATGTGAGGTACTATATATTATAATTCATGTGCACATAAAACACATATCCACTGAACTATGAAATAAACAACCATCAACCCATTTTCTAACCGCTTCTTCCAATCACAGGTCACAGGTGAGCTGGAGCCTATCCCAACAAGCAACAGGCTTAAGGTAGTATATTTTTGGACTGTGTGAGGAAACTGAAGCATAGAAGAAACCCACTCGAACATGGGAGAACATACAAAGTCCACTCAGACAGGAACCCAGGTCCAGAAATAAGCCCAGTTCCTGGTGCTGCAAGGCAGCAATGTTAATCACGTACTATACTTAAATACCCCTATGAACATTCACAAAGCTTTTTATTCTTGGGTGTTGTTATTCCTCATGAACTGAAAACTAAGTCAGAAGAGCAATGTAGTTAGAATTTTTATTTACATTTAAAGAAGATTGTATTGCAAGAGATTTTTTAGTTAAGATTTTGATCAATTATGCATTCATGATAATCAATGTGTCTGATGTAATAATTGATTAAACATCAAATTTATTAAGACTGAAATTGAATACATATGAAAATTTTAAAAAATGTTTCTCAATCTAACTCCCATCTATGACACACAGTATTATTTATTAAAAAACTTAATTTAAATGAATTTAACTGTCTACCAGATGTAAAATACAAATTAAAACAGATGGAAAATCAGAATAAACATGAAAATAACATTTAAGGACATGTTTTACAAGGCTAAAATGAAATGAGAATCAAATGTCTCCTGACTTAATTGATGCCTGATAAAAAGGATGCTTAATATCTGACATGTCTGTATCAAGAAAAATATTGGTTTTTATTTTTCCCACTTGTACTGTATACTGTATATTGAATGTAAAATTTGTTGAATCAGATTTTACATATCATTTGAGTGCTCAAATATAAGAAACAGTACAATCCATGCTATTTGTCCATAAAATATACTAAATAATACCTTTCTAATATTTTGTATCACATTCCCATAAAAAGACACTATAGAGTACAAAATGTGGATACTCATACTATGCCACATGAAAGATGCATGTGTAAATAAAATGCACTTGGACGTGACACGTTTGTGGTCTACCACTCTTACTTCCTCATATTATTTAAAACAGGTGACTATCAGAATATAAGACAGTGTTACAGGGCTACCATTCCCAGTTAACAACTGATGGTTTGTCAGTGTTGTTCATCTAACAACATGAAGCTGCTTTCAGTGCTAACCCTTGGGGCTGTGCTTCTTCTGCTGTCAGGTATGTCACCTTAGACAAGTCAAGAAATGTAAAATGATATACTTTAATTATAACTTACCAAATAATAAAACAACAAAAGATGTTGAATAAAGACTCAGATATTAAGCTGAATTTTGAATTTAGTTTTGTTGTCATGTAGTTTAAGAATTTCAATTATCAGACTTGAATGTGTACTTTTTTATTGTGTGTAAAGAAGTTGTCAGCTGCAGTACAACATGCATTATATCTTGTGATGCTCTAATTTTTCAGTCTTATTTTGCGTTTTCTTGTATTAAATCAGTCTGATGTCTCTAAACAGAAATATTACTCATTTTTAAAATGATACTCAATTGAGGCCCAGTCTTGCAAAATCACAACAGTATCATAAAAGTACAGAATATTTAACCTGTTCCTTATTAGGCAGAACATACTTGCTTCTGTGTGTTCATAAAGGTGGTTATTAACAGTTTCATGTTAAAGACTGTGGATTAATTTTGTATTGTAACACTGTTTACTAGCCATCACCCTGCTAGATTATCAGAGTCTGGTGTTTAAAGACAAAGACAGTATTACCTTTTGCTTTCTTGTTCTTTGTCATTTTTGTTCTTTATGTAAACAAAGATAGGTATATGATATATCTTTAATGCCCAACCAAAAGGGTGGAAATTGTAGAAAACTACAAAAAACATATAACACTCAACATAAAATAAATACACATTAAAAACAAACAACTGTCTTAGACATCTATAGTACGCATACAATAGGAAACAATAAATTAGCTGCATTTAATATGCCGATAGCACACAAACGAAGGATTTATTGTACACATTTTTCTTGGCCACAGGCATTCTAAAACACCTCCGTGACGGTAGCAGTTGAAAATAGAAATGAAGAGAGTGACGGGTCATCAATGATAAATTGAGCTTTCCTTTGACCTGCAATATAACATAGCTCTTTCAGCTGTTTCTGTGGTCAACCAATCATTTTAATAACAATCCTGGCCAAATTCCCTTAATATTGAGACTATCATACCACACCTTGATACCAAAAGTAAGGATGCTTTCTACTAACATTCTATAAACCCTCTCTAAAAGACTCACCCCAAATTCTTTCAACTTCCTGATCAAAAATATCCATTGGCTAGCCAAAACATGAGCGAAAATGTTTTTCACCCATCAGCAATATGAATTAACAATGCTGAAAAGCTGACATTCCTAACCATAGAACTATTTTAGCTACTTGATTGTCTGTCTTTAATGTATTTTTGCAGCAATATATTGATGTGATTTGTTCTTGTTTTTAGGCAACACCTCTTCTGGTCAATATGCCTGTGAACTGCCTCCAGGTAAATATTTTAATATTTTAATTATGTTAGAAATTACTGTGAATTTGCTGAATATGTGATTGTCCATGAACAATTGTGAAATTCAGAAATGGGAATAAAAGGAAAACAAATGTTTTTTATGAAGTATATATTTATGAAGTGTAGTATATGCTACAAGTATTAATATAATAAGCATTAATAATTAATAAAATATAGTAAAAAGGGTAAATTAATTATTATAAAACAGATGTTTAACAGATACATTTCTAATACTATCCATGATTTTTATATATATACGGTACATTTCCTGCACACAGCTTAAAGCTTAGTGTCTATGACCATTACTTGTACTTAATATTATTTTATTAAGCTCATTAAACTAATATATTTCTGATGGTAATATTTAATCATCTTACTAAATATTATACATGATAAACATTGTTTCCAATATTCTGTAAATGTGGTGTAAAGCCTTTTTGTATTTTATTATAAAAAATACAGAATCTTTATAGAAATTAAATCCCCCTTAAATAAAATATAATATAACATTTATAACTCCAGTGATTGAAGTGTAAGTCACAAGTCTACATGCTATTTGTCTCAGTGTAATTATCATGGAGAGTGGCAGTAAGTTTGGTAGAAAAGGAGCTAAAGAGGTTTCCAATATATACTGTAAATATACTGTAGTTTAAAAACCAGCCCAGTATCAAAGGAAATGAAGAAGATCCTATGAATAACCTATTAATAACCTATTAATTGCAATATGCTTATTTTTCAGATTCATTGCTATCTTCAGTACAATTTCATACACCTTTCTATTTTCAATAATATGTTTAATTTATTTGTGAAAAATTGGGTACAGTGATAAGTAGAAATCAATTTTGTTATATTGTTTCCTTATAGATGTATGCAAAACATTTGGAAGTGGATCTATCAAAACCTTCAATGGCTCCTATTTTTATGTGAAATCAACTTGCCCATTTACTTTCAGCAAAAAGGGTACAGACTATGACATACAAATACAAAGAGATGAGGATGGTATTCTGCTCAAAGTTATCATTTTTCTTAATGGTATAGTAACCACTTTGGAAAATGGTCAAATAAATGTTCAAGGGTCAAAGTAAGTGCTTTTTAAATTATTTTAACTTTATTAAGAAGGATATTTTGCAATTGTGTAAATTACATAAAATAATAATGTTGAGATTTGATAAAACAGAGATGTTCACAGACAATGGAGAGTGACCACATGGATAGTGGGAAACAAAGTGCTGTGATTATGACATGGGCCCCAGAGGTTTTACAATTATTTTTGTTCTTTCATATAATGTCCTTTTCTATTACAACTTTCTTGTGGAATGTATTTTTTCATCATGACTTATGGTTTCATCTTATTTAGTAGTAACATGTTTTTACTAGATGGATCAGTGGTTACCAACTTAGATCCTGGGGAACCCCTGAGGCCTGATGTTTTTCATTCGAACTGATTTATTAATCACGGGGGCTTAACAATGCCCTTTAACTGCATGTTTAGAACTTTATTAAAATTTCCACATGCAGTCATTGGTTTAGAAAAACATCTTAAAATGTATTGTTACAACAACTTCATGATAAATAACTTTGTGCAGCAGCACCACACCTAGTTTGTTAGGAGTGTTCTCCCTTATTCCTATCAAAACAGCTCTCAGAACAGGTTATTACTGGAGTCTGGTTGGTTGCATTTCAGCTCTTATACCATTTCAGCTCTGCATGACCATTTAAAAATTCTAAATTCTAAATTCTAAAGGAACAGGGGTGATACCAATTATGAATCCCACTCAGTCATTCAAGAGCTAATGAATTTAAAATATGCCTTACAAAGAAAAATTAAATATATTAATCTAAAACTTATTATTAAGAACAAATTTTAGATGGATCAAATTCAGGGCTGAAGGTCACAGCTTTTGCAGTTTTGATGAACATCAGGGATTTAATTGAGTCTTTTGTTTTTGTGATTACTTTTAAAGAAAGCTCTATTAAATTTAGTCATCTAAGTCTGTCAATGGAAATCCTATTGCTAATTTATGAGGAATAGTAATTGTGCTAATGTCAAACAAAAAAGAAGAATTACATATTGTGTACACACTAAGAAAGTACAATGATTTTCAACTGTTGAGTGCATTGTTTCAGTTCTAAATTCCCTACTTGACACTTGTAATACACTGCTTCAAATATGCATAAGTCAAATGTGAAAAAAAATATATTTCAGTTTTAATGTTGTCATATTATAAAGAGAATAGCTATCAGGACATTTAACTTTAGTGAGATAACAAAATGCACCAGTGCAAACATTTAATTTAAGTTCATTTAAGTTCTAATAAACGAATTACGATTTCAAGGATTCCTTTGTGATGTGACATATGAAATAGACATTGGATGTAATGAGGCTTGCATTTGGCCTTTAGCATTCACCAAACACAAAATGAAACAACAGATGATATTCTGAGTTTAGCATGCAAGTTATTTGTCGAATATGATCATTTACCAACAGAAAATAAAAAAACAAACAAATAATGCCATTGTTCAAAGCTAGTATCTCTATGATTCATTTTATTTATTGATTGTTATAGCAACTGTTAAGAAATGCACATTTTTAGACTCAGGAATTCATGAAGGACAAGGTTAATTCAGCCTTCATGTTTAGAAGTGTTTTATAATAAAAATAATTCCTTACACTTATGTGGACACAATACACTCACCACACATCAGCTATCAGTGGGTAGTAGAACAGAGTGTTGAAGCCAAGTGTCCCTGTCACTATACTGGACATTAGGATCCACACAGGCCACAGGGTGAGCACCCCCTGCTGGCTTCACTAACACCTCTTTCAGCAGCAGCCTTAGTTTTTCCCAGGAGGTCTCCCATCCAGGTACAACAACAAGATCACACATGGATTTTAATACCTTATAACATTCTTTGTGATCAAATTTAAATGAATCATTAAAAATATACAATAAAATGAAAAAAGTATAGAGTACTTCTCCCCTTAAAGTTCCCAACTAAGTACCCCTAAAATGCACTTACTGCCCTGTAACAGGGCAGCTGCATCTGGAGTGTCAGATAGGGGGTTAAGCCACCAGAGGGTGCCGATAGGGCTTGAGGGCTAGTTCAAGTTCAAGTTCAAGTTCAAGTTTATTGTCATTACACTCATATACATGGTATATGGTGTAACGAAATGCTATTTAGCTAGCTCTCGGACATAAGTAGTACAAAGAGAAAAAAACAACAACAACAACAACAACAACAACAATACAATTGTGTAGCAAAAGAAAGACAGAGACAACAGGCAGTGTGCAAAAAACAACAACAGACGATGTGCAAAAAAAACCAACAACAGGCAATGTGCAAAACAACAAAAAGGTAACAGGTTATGTGCAAAAATATCCATCAACAGAATAAGAGATGCTGGGAATTTAACAGTTTGATAGTGCAGGGGTAAAAACTGTCTCTGAGTCTGGTAGTCCGGGCCCGAATGCTCCGGTACCATTTTCCAGATGGTAGCAGATCATAAAGTCTGTAGCTGGGGTGTGTGGGGTCTTTGATTTTGCTTAGAGCTTTCCTCAAGCACCGACTGTCATAAATGTCCTGGATAGATGTGAGGGTAACCCCAGTGATGTACTGGGCAGTTTTCACCACCTGCTGTAGGGCTTTGCGGTCAGCAGCACTGCAGTTGCCATACCACACTGTGATGCAGCCTGTCAGTGTGCTTTCTGTGGTGCATCTGTAAAACATGTAAGACTGTAAGACATATCTTAGCCTTCTTCAACCGTCTTAGGAAGTACAGGCGCTGTTGCGCTTTCTTGATCAGACAGGTGGTGTTGAGAGACCATGTGAGGTCCTCTGTGATATGGACACCAAGGAATTTAAAGTTACTGACCCTTTCCACTTCAGTCCCGTTGATGTGGATAGGGGCATGTCCGGTTTGCAGTTTCCTGAAATCAACAATCAGCTCCTTGGTTTTGCTTACGTTGAGGGTGAGGTTGTTGTCATCACACCATGTTGTAAGGAGATTGACCTCCTCCCTGTAGGCCCTCTCATCATTGTCAGTGATCAGACCTACAACTGCGGTGTCATCGGCAAACTTGATGATGGAGTTGGTGTTGTGTTTGGCCTTACAGTCGTGGGTATAGAGGGAGTAAAGCAATGGACTAAGCACACACCCCTGGGGGACCCCAGTGTTCAGAGTTAGTGTGCCGGAGGTGTGGTTTCCAAGCCTGACAGCCTGGGTCTGCCTGTCAGAAAGTCCCGAATCCAGTTGCAGAGGGTGGTGTTGAGACCCAGTGCACTGAGTTATTGACTAGTTTTTCTGGAACGATAGTGTTAAAAGCTGAGCTGAAGTTGATGAATAGTAGTCTTGTGTATGTGTTCTTTTTGTCCAGATGGGATAGGGCCGTGTGTGTGGCAATGGAGATTGCGTCATCTGTGGATCTGTTGGACCGGTAGGCAAACTGGTACGGGTCCACTGTGTTTGGGGTGGTGTCCTTAATGTGCTTCATGACCAGCCTCTCGAAGCACTTCATGATGACAGGTGTTAGTGCCACTGGTCAGTAGTCATTAAGACATGTCACTGTGGTTTTCTTTGGTGTTGGGATGATGGTGGTTGTCTTGAAGCAGGTGGGGTCTACGGCTTGGGCCAGAGACATGTTGAAAATGTCTGTGAATACACCCGCCAGTTAATTGGCGCAGGCTCTGAGGACGTGACTGGGTATGCAGTCCTGCAGCCTTGCGTGTGTTCACGTTTAGCAGAGATCTCCTAGACAGACTGACAGGGTAAGAAATGCATTAACAACACATAGGCACAAGGTTATTAGGGAACTGGCCTCACCTGTTAGAGGCCTATTTAGAGGTTGGCGAGTAAACTGTCCTAATTGATTCAGGGGAGTCAGACCCTCGTTGCCAAGTTTGATAGTGACTAGCAGGGTTCACAGGGAGGTAGAACCACACTCTCAGGAGGGCAGTGAGAGAGCAGGTCTCATGGTGATAAACTGTGCGAGCAAGCTCCTCACTGGCAGATGTATCAGTGAGACACAAGCAAAAGTAAGATCCTAACTGGCAGGTGTCAGTGAGATAACAGGTCTAGTGGTGAGACACCGAGGTGCCTACTGTACCTGTATCTAAAGTATATAAAACCTGGAAGGGGCAGGTACCAACATCAATCCCTGAAGTGACTGAGCAATGCTGTTCTAAGGGAGAGAACAAGGCTGTCCGATTAAAAGACTGATTCATAGGGTGAGACATCTGTCTGTGTCCACTCAGGTAGAGTGAAATATGTATGGAGCCTCAGGAGAAGCTAAATCTCAGGGGAGACAACTGGTTAGTAGTGAAAGTTGCCAAGATTATGTGTGAGACATCTAGGAGTAGGGAAATCAATCATATTGACATGTTGCGATCTCTTTTGTAACCATAAAATGTAAGTGATGTTTCTTTATGATCTATGCTCAAGCTTAAGTTGCATTCCAGACCTTCCAGCTTTGCTGTTAGTCTGCTGTTAGTTTGACATGTTAGTCTGCTGTTCACCCCAAAGAAAGTCCAATTTTAAAATAAGTCACTTGTTGTTCAAACGTCTTCGTATATACAGTATGTCTTATAATATATAAATAACGAATAATTTGAATATCTCCATTTACAGTGTTCATCTTCCTTATGACCACAAATATCTGCATATCCATAAGTACGGCATCTACACTAAACTGGAGAGCAGAATAATGAAGCTATCAGTCTTTTGGTATGATGAGGATGGATATATCAGTTCCCTTTGGGTAAGATATGATATTTTGATTATCTACTGGTACTCAGATCTCGATAAAAAGTTATTTAAACAAATTATTAAATACCATGATATAATTATTTTTGTTTTAATTGAAATTATTCCATATTGACAGAAAATACAGATGTTATGGGATTGCTAATATGTTAATGGAGAATCATGCATGCATCTCGCAAACCTTACTTATTTCATTTAAAATAGTTACAGATTAAAAACGTGATCTCATTAAGCACTAAAAGTGACAATAAATGTCATTTTCTCACACTAATGCTGCTATTAAACAATCTTAGAAACTTTTACAACAAGTTATAACATACCCATTCCACAGCACAATTTATGCAACTATTGTATAATCCTGCTGTATGCTTTCTGTGCATCCACTGGCATAATCTGAATACAATTTTCAAACTGGTCAGCCATAGAAGTACCCGATCTCCCAAATTTTAGTGTAATGTTTTATGTCTTGTCAATAACAGAAAATGTATAAATGCTTTCCATTTTTTGTTGTTTTTGTTTTGTTTTATTTTGTATCAATGAAAATCCAAAATACATAAGGGAAAATATTAAAAACGAGTACAGTTCAAGTACAGAACACATGTACACAGCAAAGAGATATTTTTATCAACTGATTTTTCCTTAATTTTAAAAAACATAACTAAAAAATAAAACATTCGACATTTCACTCCCTAGTTAAATGTTACTATACATGATTTTACCCACTTCAGTAGCTGCACAGAGAGCTCTCTTACAGACAGGCCAGGATATAACTATGTCAGGAGAGGAATCATAAAAGCTTCCAATGCAGAACCAAAATCTTTTATGTGGCAGTCAGACCATCCAAACAGATAAGTTTCAGCTACTTCAAGAGCCCAGGGCTGGAGTTACCATTTAATAAAGTTATTAGGTGACCATTTCTAAAACTTAACCACAACTGGGAGATTTCAAGGTA